TTCGGGGTCACCTTCTAGCCGAAAGCCGTGGGCGAGCTTGTTTTGCGTTGTGTAACCTCCGGCAAAGATGTTAGCCGATCGCCTGATGCTTCATCAGCATCATCGCCACCGTTTGCACCCGAAAGCCATCATCATCATCATCAGCAGCAGCATATCATCGCCTCCTTTCTCTAGGTTGGTGGCGGTGGCTTGAAAAGTATGTGCACTGTCAGGATTGCATTCATTCGTCGACCACCTGGCAGCAAGCCGCCGTGATGCTGATGATGCTGGGCTTTTTGCGGTGTGTCACCTAGAGATACATGCGTATATATATATATATAATCAAAAAGCAAGCTTTCCGGTGCATGGCGGCCGGGCACTGCTTGCAGCCAAAGGCACTGCTCCATTGTACCTGGCTGGAAAAGCCGGTAAAAGCCGAGCACGTCCTCGCACCTCGTTTGCTTCGGAACCTTCGGCTGCTATTGCCTTCGAAGCGTGCTGAGATGTGCCGAGTGTGCCTGTGGCCTTCGGCCTTTCACTCTGCAGCCTGCACCTAACCCCAGAATTTGCCCACACCTGCTGCGGACTGGATGAGTGCTGCGATTTAGTCCAAGCCCAGGCACAGCATGCGATATCCTTCGTTTGAAAGGGTTGGGACGTTCGGAGGAACACCGTCGTTGGCGAACACCACAAGCGGCTCGATGTTGAGCTCCTCTGACGTAGCGCAAGAGTGCCATGGTAATAGCTTTATCACCTAGTCGTCCCCAAATCTTTCTACTACAGTAAGCCCACAACCCTTTTCTAAGTCTTACTATACTAAGGATCCTATATACAATCTATTTTTGCCTCAATGAGGGTCGTCCCAAATATAGTACGGCACCCTTCTAAAACGGAGCCTGCTGGGACCCTAATCTAGAGAACTACCTCATATAGTAGCTAGGGTTTGGACCATACTCCTGCTTGAGACGGTGAGCGAGCAAAGCCATGAACTGGCCACCAACTCCGTGCGAAAGGAAGCCGAAAGGTGCACCCTCGGAGACACCGCCCTTGGCATGTGTCCTCGGCTACAGGTTTCTACCCTCTCGCTCAGATCTTCGGGAATCGGGACTTGTGCGCTTGGCTTCACATTTCTCTCTGTGACTCTTCTCATCCGCCGATCTTGACCGCGTGTTGGATGGGTTCAGAGGTGCAAACTTGTGGGGGGTACCCTGCAGGCGCATCATGCCGTCGCAAGCTTTGAGCCGTCCGTAGGACTTCCCACTCTTTCGAGATGTTGGGTATTTGTACCTCGGTAGCACCATAGGAGGTTGTAGCACAAGTGGCGTGCTACGAGTCACGTTCCTGCCAGCCAGCCGGCCACAATGGGTGCTTTCCAGGCCCTCCACTTTATGCCTGAAGCCCACGCTGACGTCCCTTCCTGTGGTTGAGCCGGAGGCTAAATATACATCAACAGCACCTACTGTAACGCTTCTCTTTCCTCACTCAAATGTCTCTCCGCTCTCTGCTGCCCCAGTCGCTGACGAAAGACTCAACAAAACAAGGCCACCCCTGATAGCTGCCGGAGAGAAGTCCCGACTCAATGCCCGCCCATGAATTCAACCCTTTCTCATGTCGCTTGCCTTCTCTGTAAATAAACCTATAACCCTAAACCCGAAGCATCCCGAAGCCCAGTCTGGCTCTTACACCCCCCTCCCTTAGGACAATCCAGATGGGAGGGTCTCTCGGTTCGCAGTGGGCTATTAGGGAGATGCAAGCAAGGCTGTGCGAACAAGGGCCCTGAAACCATGGCCACAGACCAAAACAGTGAGGACCCATATGTTAAAACTGAGTAAAAGCCGCATACCAAACACAAACACACACACACACAGCTTCGCAAGCTTAAACCTGAAAGAGGCAGGTGTTGCAGACTGAACTGTACAAAATTCCGAAACCCCGAAAGGCTGAACCCGGCTAAACTCCCTTTTTGTATAAATCCTGAGGCCCTTTTGAAAACCCCCAGTTGTCACCAAGGGTCTCGAAGGCAGGGCGCATGACCCGGAAGGCGTCTGCAGCGCGCTCTTCCAAGCTTCGATCCCAGGCTTCGTCGGGTCGAAAGCCATGAGCTCGGGGCTCCTCGAGTTTCGACTCACACACTCGCTCAAGGCTTGCACGTTCGAAGGTCTGAAAATGCTAGGGGAAGGGTTTCGACTCACACGCTCGCATAGCAGGCATGGCAGGTCCGATAACTGTCTGAGCTGGTTTCGACTCTCACACTCGCACCAGGCAGGCAAGGGTTTCGACTGATAAGGCATTTTGGTAAGCCATGATAGTATGCAATACTCCTTCTCCAGTGCAACACAATGTGAATAGAATCCGAAACTGACAACTAGAACAAGGGCCAGGGCTCATAAACCGCAACTTCGCACCATTCTGGCGCATTCGTGGCCAGCTCCAGCCACAGCCTCAATGTCGACCAGATGGCATAAACAAGTACCACGAAGGCATTGTGATGCTGATCAAGATGTCGGAGATATTTCTCCAATAGATCACTACTGCGACAACAACGAACATGCAGAATGTGGCTGCTTGGTGCTATCGATAATCACGAAGACTATGGAGCAAACCTGGACGGGAAGCATGTAGTTGTCTGCAGCCCCGGGGAAGCAGTAAAGCCGTATCATCGGCTTCCGAGCTTTCTCGGGGAAGAGCTTCTTCGCCTCAGGGTGGCGACACGAATCTCGGGGGCCAGAGGAAAGGGTTCAATGATACTTACTCTCTAGATCTCTACCCACAGGCTCCATAGTAGTTCCTTTTTGGGATTACCTTGTAGGATCCTAAATATAAACCACAAAAAGGAACTACCATGGAGCCTAGGGGTAGAGTCGATGAAGAAAGCATCGCAAGGCTGCACCTGGACCTTGAGAAGACCTGCAGAACAACAACCTGCAAACCCAGAACCAACCGAAAGCCAGAAAGTGCCCAATCTCACAGCCTGGACTAGCCGGGCACGTCAGGGTTTAGTTTCTGCGAACTTCAACTAGACTGGAAATATGTTTCGTTGCCTCGAGACACCCGCTAAAGCCTATTCCGGTGCCTTGTCAGGAACTGCTGCATATGTTGGCAGTCCAACCGTCCGGGGCATCACGGGCAATTGCCCGCCTGTCAGGAGCTTGAGCTTGGCAGCCCATTTCTACCACCACTTCGCTGACGCTTTCTGGATCCCAAGCTTTACAACAGATGCATCAAGAACCGCAACTCACGGTGGACTTTGTTTAACTGTCCGCTGCCACGAACCGAGGCCGTCTGACTCTCCTACTGCGCGGGACCACCTCCGAAACCTCTTCCTAAACCTGATATTTGCAGGCGCCGACAGAAATATTGGAATTGTCTGCAAACCAAAACAAAACAAGAGCTGCAAGACACGATCACACCGCCGAGGCTCCAAGATAGTCCCCTGGCGGCTCAAGAGGCTCTGCTGCCTTCTGGGCCAGAAAATCGTCTAGCAGATGGGCTTCCACCTCGGCGCATCTAGCACATTACCTAATCACCTGATCTCTTCCAGCCAGATTTTGTTTCCTTCTGAGCCCGTAGAAGACGACACCCGGATAGTCACAAGGGCAGCGTGCAGGGCAAGGAGCCTCCAAGTCTTCCTGGTTCAATGCTCTACTCCACGCCGTCGCAGTAAAGCCGTAAAGCCCCCTTTGAAAGCAACTCTTGTTTGGAAGAGAGATGTGAGATATAAAGACTATATACTGCAAAGCTAAATTTTGAAACATCAGGGGGCTACACGAGGACACAGTTGTCCAGAAGGCTTTCCTTCCGTAGACTCGAAACCTTGGTTTGCAGAGTTTGATGAGTCCAGGCACGCTTGCGGGCATCTTCCGCCGCGCGGGCTCCATCCACCAGGCCTCCGCGCTCTTCGCCAAGGACAGCTCCTCAAGACCCAACCCCCAAAAAACCCTAAAGCCCCAGGCCCTGAAAACCCTGAGCCTTTCCCACACCTCTAAGCGGGCACGGCCGGATATTCGACTGTCCTCCTCGCTCAGCTGCCCTGCGGTAGGCTTGGCCACCTCTGCGGCAGCCGGGTGAGTGTCCGCTTCGGCGCCTTTGGGTTCCTGCGTCGCAGACGCTCAGAACTGTTGCAAAGACAGGGACCGCTCGAGACGTCTTGTCACTCCGCAGAGCGAGCCTGCGGAGTCTGAGCCGGCAGAGCCTCTGCATGAGTCCTGGGCGAGATTTCGGAAAGCTGCGCATCATGCACATCCTGCTGCAACGTCTCCGAGTAGCTCCGAGCCGACGTCTGCTGAGGTTTGCTGCACCGGCGCTGCCTCTGCACGGCTCTGCCGTGAAATTTCACTGCCAAGCCAGATTGATCTACTATATCACGCCGACTCAAAGCTATGGAACCTCGCCTGGCTTGTCCGAGTTGTGGGAGCCATGAGAGATTTATGGTCTGGGTTGTTCTTTTTTTCCAGCTACACACAGAGATCGAACCCACAGAGTTCCCGCCGTTTTGAAAAGAACTTCCCCCTCCCCCCCCCCGACACACTCCCCCCACTTCTAGCTTGCTGGTGTAAATGGAATCCAAAGGATGGAGCGGGCAGCCGCCTCGGAACGGGATCCTTTGCCTTATACTCGCCCCTGCCTCAAGACCCCCACTTCTCATGATTCTCGAGCGAAGGCTGACGTGTCCAGCATTTCCCTTTGCAGCAGTGACCGTGGGAACCGAGCCCTAAACGGTGTAGCAGCTACGAAACATCGCACGTGAGCGGTTCCGTGGATACTCAGAGCAACGTGCATTCATGAGGGATGCTTGCAGGCTTGCACATTAGTGCGCTCGTCCGAAGCCCAGAAGCCCCAAAGAATGCCTGTACCTTTTTGTCGTGCAGCACGTGCCACAGCAAGGGCTTCCTGTAAAGGCCCCGCACAGTGCTCTCAAGCCCCCCGGCCTTTCTGAGCAACTCCTTGTCCTTGAGGCTGATGCTCACCTTCACTGCAAAGAAGGCCTCTGCCTCTGCTCTCCGAAGCTCCTCCGTCCCCCCCTCTGTTTTTGACGCAGAGTCGCCCAGCCAGTCTCCGGGCCGCTGCCGGAAAGAAGTCGGTAGTGGATGCGGTCCCCGTTCCGCCCCAACTCCTCCACTCCTGAGACTGACTAGTGTTTCGCAGATAGGATCCCCAGCTGCACCGACAGCTGCACCGACACGTCCAGGCTGCGACCAAGTCTCGGGAGCCTGTCGAGAGCCGCCCCTCGAGCCTGAGACGGCTTGCATGGATGATGTTTAGTTTGGGCCGCTCAGAAGCACGACAGCCAGGGAGCTGCTTCGAGGTCGTGCTGGAACCATCTCGAACCAGAATGCCGCCTTTGTCCGAGCCACCCACCACATCCCAACCTTGAAGCGCAGTTTCAATAAAAGATGTGGGCCTGCTGGCGGCTGAAGCTGCAGTGCACAGATGTAAGAGCTCCACAAGTCAGCAAATCGGAGGCCATATCAGCTTGATGGCAAGTCTCTGCACGGAATGATATAACTGCTGGTCATGCAGAAGCTATAGGTGCCTCAGCAAATGTTGTTGTTGCCCAGTTGAGCCAAGCACTCTCTGACGGTATGGCTTTTCCGCCTTTCCTGCCAGCTGTCATCCAAAAAGGTAGTGCATGCTTGGCAATAGCTGCCGCATGCTTCCTGTATCAGTCGTGGTAACCTGCGTCGGTAATGTTCGTCTGACCATGCTTGTAATTTTGCTGCTTCCGTAGCTTCACTTGAGCATCGCTTGCCAGGGTCGGGTTTTTAAGCGCGTGAAGACAAGAAGTCAACCGAGGACCGCTTAAGCCTGGAAGACTTGAGAACCTGAAGGTGCTCAGAAGCGCACCCTGCTTTTCTTCGGAAATGCGGCGAGACTTCCAGGTGTCCAACGCCACTAGCCTCGGAAATCGCAGCTGAAGATTTGAAATGCCGGCAGAAGTACGCGATGGCAGCATTGTTGCCATGATGTAGGCATCTTTCCAGGGATGTGCTGAAGTGCGCAGAAACGATCAGGCATGCCTAGGCCTTTCTCCATTCTTTGAGGCACTGCCCGCATGAATGATTCGTTGCGGCATACTGCTGCTTCTGCAGCGGGTCGCTTCGATCACCGCCGTCTGCGCCACTCTTCGCTTGCAGTTGCAAACAGCGGGGGAATGCCAGCAACGGCATGCAGTCCTTCAGCTTCGAGTGCATGCGAGTTTTGGCTTGTGAAGGCGCAGTTTCCCGCATTCTCACTCGAGTCCTCATGCAACAAAAAGCCGCAAACCCGAGACCTTGAGCCCCTTGCCCGCTTCCAGCAACCCCCATCCCAAGCTTTCACGGTCCCTTTTGGGTCTGGGTGCAGCCCTCGCCCAACGAGTCGAGTCCGATCGGAAGTAGGTACTCGGACCCATGGTCTGGGCCGCCCGCACGAACTGAGAGCTTCCGAAACCCAAATATGGCTTTAGAGTTTTTCAGGGTTCTACAGTACATAGGGTTTGTGCAGGGGTCTCTCCACAACTCTTGCAAGATACAGGCTCAGCTCCCCGATGCGTTCCTTGCTCTAGTTTGGTGACCTCTCCGGCTTTCTAACTCAGCTCACTTGACCTGAGGGCTTGGGGCTTCTTGGGCTGAGGGTGCATTGGATCCAGGATTTCCCCTCTTGAAAATGTCTGGGACCCAGCGAAAGTAAGCAAAACACACGTCGTCAGATCTGGGGCTTCGGCGTCCGAGAGTTGGCGACATCGGGCACAGCAAAACCTGTTCGGCGCTTCCGATTTGCATGCCCGCGTTTGCAGGTTCAGGTTCACCAAGGCCCAAACAATGCGTTGCTGTTGCAAAAACTGGCAGTGCACCAAACAGCCTTGCGTCGCACTTTCTCCAAGCTTTAGGGCTGGGACAGCACCAGGAGAGCTTGGCAGTTCCATGGCTATCAGGAGAAATGCAACGAACTCCCTCTGCACAGGGCGTGCGCAGCACGCGACGCCGGGAATCATTGAGAGGCCCAAACGACCACTAATCACGAAAGTCACTAAAGCATTAAGTATCCTTTGGACACACTCGAAAGCTAAGGCACAACCTGACATGCTGCCCAGCCTGCTTGTGAACAAGCTGCGTTGGGAGAATAGATACATATGTTATGTTGGGCTGTTGGGCAGGCTGGTTCAGGGTGTTACCGCCCGCTCCTTCTGCGGACAACAGCGGCACCATGATGCTATGCGTAGCCGCGCAAAGACGCGCAAGCAGTACAACAATGCAGGAGCCTGCGATTCAGAAACCGCTGGCAATGATTAGATATAGTTCCCTCCAGACTCCAGGTCCTACGTACTGGTGTGGGTTTTTCTTTTGAAATCTGCTTTCGTCCCTGCAGCATGCCGCAGGCTCCAGCTTGGCTGTTGATCAGCGATTTCAGAATCAGGTTCTTACATGAGCCTTGCTGGAAGCCTGCAACCTAACCACACCGACTCCCTTCGGGAGTGTTTTGCGAAGTAACAAAAAGGGGCTCATGGTTCGCCGCAATTCTGCAGATTCGATTCCCAAACCGTTGCGAGGACAAGCCAAGCCTACTTTCCATATTATTTTAGGGTTACGGGTCATGTCGGAGCCTTGTCATAGCACTACGCGCCGATTCTATATTTGGAAGCTTGCATCGTGTCCGAGCTCTGGATGCTGGGCTTGGCAAAATCACTTGCTGAGAATCTGCTCTGAGAGTGCTAGCATAGCAAATCCAAGAATCCCTGCGCGACACTCAGCAGAAATCGTCGCATTATGAGAAACATTTGAAGGGGGACTCCGCGGAACGAGGCCTTGAAGCTGGCCGTGCAAGGAAGACGAGGTGGATCAGCCGGCAGCCAGTCCCACCATCAACGGCCGAGAAGACCTGGACATGGAAAAATCAAAGCCAGACATTTTGGGTCGGCCCATCACGAGCGAAGGGCTCGGATTTACTTCTCTCCTCAATGCCCTCTGCGTTGCTCGGCGGGTCTGGCCGACTTTCTGCCGTGGCTCTATCTGAGGTCTTGCGCCCGAGGTCGGCGTCCGACACAGACCTCCGGGAGCTTCGCGACATCATCGAGACACGGCTTGCCAGCATGAGGTCTGCTTCACCAGCCTCTGCTCCCACAGCGGTCATCACGGCACTGGTCATCCTCAGGTCGTAGATGGAAAGGCTCTCCAGGACTTTTACCATCTCGGCGCCCGAGAGGTCCTTGATCACGTTGCCGAAGGTGGAGAGCTTCTTGGCCAAGGCCTCCGGGTCGGGGACCTTGCCCAAGGCTAGGACCCTCGACTCCTGGGCACTTCCCACAGCATGGCGATAGTAGATCGATGCAGTGGTCACGCCGATCATGCTCACCATCATCATGACCAGGAAAACACTGACCACGCAGTCAAAGAGGTTCAAGGCCGGGAGTTTCCACGGCCACGTCATGAGCTGCACAACCAGGTACGTCTGAAGGATCGCGACAATGAGAACCATCTGAATGAAGGGATAGTCTGCTGCCAAGACGATGGACAAAGACAGTGCCAGTCCTCTCGGGAGCACAGCTGTCCCATACCACCAAACGTCGACGCGGAAGCGGGCGATGAGAAATCGAACCGCAGTGAGAAATGTCGCATTGCTTTGTTTGGCAGCCTGGGGCGCGTGGACTGTTGCCCAGATGGCCAAACTGTAGAATCCGATGAGACCGCAAAGAAGTGAGACGCCCATCAGAAACATGGTCGTGTGCTCGGGGCTCTCGAAGCAGAAGATGCCGTTGTGAGAGAGCATTCCATGCTTTCCGTTGGGATGAGCATAGCACATCATAGGCTGCAGGGCGGTCTTACTGGCAATGGTGAAGGCCACTTGCACCACCTGCCCCATGGTGCTGATGGTCTTCGGCCACTGGAACTGCAAGCGGTATGGAGCGCACCTTCGGCTGATCAGATGGGCCGTCAGGAGCCAGAGCAACGCAGCCGGCAGCGCGACGGCGCTGTACGCGTAGCGCCGGGTGGGATCGCCGGCCACGCAGTCGAAACCCATGGAGTCGATATCCAAGAGGAAGAAGTTCATGGCGTCGAAGACCCAGGAGAGCTCCGGTGGCCACTCGAAGGAGATCATTCCAACGATGCCGACCTAGGTGCTCTGACGCGGCGCTTCTGGAAAGTCATGCGGCCAAACCGCCTAGATGCAGTCGTAAACGATGAGGTCGACACACAACCACCACCACCACCACCACCACCACGACCACGACCACGTACCACGTGCCACAGACCACGTATCTTGTACCACTACGACGACGACGACGACTACTTAAATGTACTACTACAAATAAGGGAAGGCAGGCTTCTTCAATGTGGTGCACATGTGCTTAGCAAGAGCGTGCGCCCAGCGCGCAAGACCCAGGAACAACTAAGTTGCCGGCGCTTTGGAGCATGCTGATGGTCATGCCCAGCACACACGTTGTGGCCAACATCGCACTCGCCCGGGTGGTTGCTGGTGAATTGATCAAATAATACATAGCTACCAGAGCAGACATGCCAACTACAGCAAAGACCACCCAGCCTGCGAAACTTCCACCTGCACATGGGGCACATACGCCCTGATCCAATGACATCCCATCAGGGCACTGTGTACACGGCACTCCGACCCGGCCGCCCGCGCATGCTCCCGACATTCCTCCCGGGCACTTGTCTGCGGGCAAACACTTGTAGATGTCGTAGGGGGCTTCCCGCGTGGCGAAGAATCCCGGGAGGATCATCGGCTCCTCGCCCTCCTCACACTCAAGCCCAGATTGGCACTGAACGCATGCACCCAGCTCGAAGCGAGCGCCGTCCCTGCAGCGAAAGCATTCGCCATTCCAGAGCTGGCCATTGCAGGTGCAGGCTGCAGCATCCAAGGCGCCCTCGTAGTTCGTGGTCCGTCCAGCCGGGCACTCCTGGCACTGGGTGAGGCCGGGCCTGTCGGCATAAGTGCCTTCTTCGCACTTGGCACACTGAGACATGCCGGACTGGTTCACGAAGAAGCCCTGCTGGCAAAAAGTGCAGGAAGGTGCGGCCCGCTCTTCACTTATGCTGCCAGCTGGACACGGGTAGCATTCGGCCAAGCCGCTGACATTGCTGAAGGCCCCGGTAGGGCAGGGATCACATTGAGTCATGCCTAAAGCCGCAAAGCGGCCAGTGGGACAGTCGGTGCAGCCGAGCTCGTTGAACCAGATGGTTCCAGCAGGGCACTCGCTGCTTCGATCTACGGGAAGATAGCCTGTGGACAGGTCACAAGTCCCGCTGCTGCAGCTCGTGCTCTTGCTGCTGTCTGTTGCGCTCCAGGTGATGTCTCTAAGCCACTGAACCCCTGCAGGAGTCCAAATGCCCAGCTGTTCGAAGGGCTGCATGACCGTGGCTGCGACTTGTAGCATAAGGACTGCGCCCTCTCGGTCTCCAAAGGAGGGTGGAGTGGTGGTAGGATCCACGCCGTTGAAGAGGCGCACCCTTCCGCTGCTTCCCATGTAGTCCTGCTGAAGAGTGAGCTGGTACAGGGAGTCGCGGGAGAAGTCGGTGTTGAGCTCGTCGTAAGACCTGTTCTGATCAATCAGAAAGCCGTGAAGGACTGATGCTATTTGCCAAAGTCCATCATAAACGTAGCCCATGGCATTCCAAGAGATTCCCGTCCCATTGCCAAAGGCAGCGGTCTCTCTGTAGTAGTCGGCGGTGATGTCTGCAAATCTTCGGCCCGACAGTCCATGCACTTCATTCGTCTCCGTCAGGGGGCTGTAGGTGAATCCTATCATTCCCCAGGCTGCATGGAGAACTTCGTCTGCGGCACAGGGACACAGAGGGCTGCCAGCATTGGCATTGATAAAGTTCGGGTTCCACCAACCATTCAGCAACAACCAATTGTAGTCTGGCGCCAGTAGGCCGTGCCTGTAGGCTTGGCAGAGAACCATGGCTCCATGGTCCTCATATGTCGCCAACACACTCCATTTGGCATCTCGCTGGCGCCTCAAATCTACCGCAGCTGCGGCAGAGTCTAGGTCCGTCACGGTCGCTTCGAAAAGCACCGTCCAAGCGTGGGTGCCGGCTTCGGTGTCGCGCTGCACATTCTCCCGGAAAAGGTCCCGAAGTCCGACAAAGATGGCGGCCGTGCCATGCACGAGACCTACTCTTTGGACTTGGAAGCTTCTCAGGATCTCCACGGCTGACATGACGGTCACGCGGTAGGAAGGCGCCATGCGGCTGAAGTATGGATAGCGATCGCGATCGCTGAGGTCCACGGAGATGGAAAATGGAGAGACCTGCATGATCTTGTAGTGGTACAAGGCATGGTTTACTGGCTGACTCGACGCAGAGCAATCGCAACCGAGTAAAATGTGTTTCTGCGGGGCCGTGTTCATGGACTCGATGACCCTACGGACAGCTATCTGTCCGGAGCATGCCTCGTCCACCATGTGAAGTTTGAGCCGATATCCAGGTAGCATGTTGCTGTCCTCGATCTCCTGCGTGGCAGCTAGCAGGAGTGGCTCGGCCATCGTAGCGGTGTTGCCGATCGGGCCTGTGTACGGTAGCATGACCAGGACATTCAGATCCCGCGCCGCGTTCCGTGCTGGGTTTGGAGTCGGGTGAATCTCGCAGTTGTTCGAATAGTAGCGGCATGGATAGCTTTGGCCATCAGTCGTGGCACCGGAACACATCTCGGGGCAAAGCAATCCTTTCGTAGGCTGCACAAGCAACCACGGCCAGAAACATAGCAGACACAGCGATCTGGCCGCGGCCAAGACCGCCATTCCTCCTGACACTCTAAATCTACTGCAGGTCCACTGCGCCTGAGCCCAGCTTCATGTGCCTAGTCAAGCTCAGAGCATTCGCTAGCCCAGGCATGCAGCACAAAGCCAACTTGTTCACGCTTTCTACCTCGCGCTAGCAGCTAGCCGCTGGCAATTGCCCGTGGCCCCGACCGCTGGACTGGATCTGCGCCGTGCGGACCCAGAATGCACCTAGTCAGCACGTTTGCAGAACTTGCAGGACAACGTCGTGTGTCACGCGATGCGTACATCCACGCCCTGTCGAGAAGCATAATTGTACGCCTCGGCCGACATACGGAGTCGGTTGTCGTCAGCACTTCCACCCCTCCGACTTTCTCCACTCCCCCGATATTGTCCTCAAACCTAAACATGATGCGCACTTGAACCCGTCTTCTTCTGCGATCTTTCAATCTCGATCGAAAAGGCGGAATCTCCAAACACGAAGCCAGAAACAGTCTTCGCTGACGGTCTTCTAGATTCTGGAGACTCTCTGTATCGTGTTGCTTCCCCTTCCTTTCGAGTCTCCTTGTGCCTGGTGGGGTGCGCATGGCTCAGAGGGCACAGAGAACGAATTCTCTCGCGTGGGTTAGTTGGGCCTGGCTCGAGGGCCCTTCTTCTCCACAGCTTTGCAACATCCTGCAAAATACCGCAGCTGGCCTCACCCGGTATTTCGATAGTGTAGAAGTCAGAGCGGCCGTAGGCCAGCATGTGACGCACTGACCGGCCCTCGAAGGTTAGATCTGGGGTGTCGAGATGTGCTGGCGAGAGCCCGTGTGCTCAGGAAATTTTGATGCCGTTCTCCTCGGCTGGGTGCAACGTTTGCTCGCTCCAAAGAAAGCCTGTCATTGGGCCTGATTTCTTGCGGAGCGCCTGTTGCAGCCCGTGCCGTAGTGTACGGCAACATGTACAGTACTAATCTGTGATGATAGGTCCGTTGTGCAAAGCTGGCAAACACTTGCGTTTGGGACAGCAATGTGTAGGGACGGATGGCGAATCAATTTAGACAGAACATGGTCATGTTACCGGTAAAACGAAGTCGGCTGAGCATTCTGAGCATGGTAACCGTCCCTTCTGCAGAAGCTGCGTCAACTGCGGACATTCGGGCAACTTCAGCCGTGCATCGCAGGAGAAATTGCTTCACCCAACGGCCACAAAGCAGGCCTTCAAGCTGGTGATGAACAACATTTCCGGAAAGAGGGGCGTCTCCTGCCAAAATCGCCGTGCGTGCTCTCTGAACATGCCATGTCGTGCCGCGGGACATGCTTTGCAGTGCGCGTCAGAATCAAGGTGGGCCATGGAAAGGCGGAGGATTGTCGGAAGTCGGAGCCGATTGTCAGAGCTCTGGACGGCAAACACCATGTGCAAGGTTGCTGCTGCAGCAGGATGGCAACAAGGGAGGCTCACACTAACCCCCCGTAATTCAGAATAGACAGAAGGGCAGGGATGATTTCGGGAGGGTTGGGCCCTATGATAAAAGGGAGAAGTGAGTATTCTAGAGGTTTGGGAATGCACGGTCCGACTTCCCCCATACATTGGAAGCAAAGCTCGCCTGTCATCGAGCATGCGTTGTGTACATGCTGAAACTGGGAAGTGTCATCTTCGTATGTCTCATACTTTCAAGACAGGCGTTCAAGCAAATTGTCGCATCATTGAATTGGTCGATTAATTAAGGCGGACCAGAGGTACCTGATCGAAGCGGTGTTCAACATGTCAACACACTTTAGGATGTGAGTTGGAATGATACAGCTCAGGTTTCGCGATGTGTCATGACCCTACGTTTACGTGTTGTTGGCGTGCGAACCGCAACGGTAAAAGAGAAGGTTCCATCCAAGCCGGTAGACAGACAGCTGGAAAGGCGTTTTGTGTTGTTGGAGCCGGCTGGCTTTGCCAACGCTGTGGCACTCTGTGGTGTGTGTGTGTGTGTGTGTGTGTGTGGGGGGGGGGGGACTACGAAATTTCGGGATAGTTAATGCGCTTTCCGCCCGGCAGCTTACTCGCTACAGTACTACAGATAGATGTGCAAGATATTTCAGGATTCACGAGGAGCCGCCAGAAAACTCAGCAGCGATCTTGCCGTGAGACCTCCAAATGTCCAAGTTGGCTTCACTACTTCATGCTCAGGTCCTTTGATGCGCCATGATGTCCGTATGTCTCCATTACCTCGACTCTCGCCTGGGAAAGGCAATGCAAAGACCCTGAAGTTATAAGATCCCAAGCCTACCAAACCCCCTCCTCCAAACACAGGGATTTGCCGATTATTTATTTTTGCAGACGTTTTGCAAAAGAATTTGCGAAACGATTTTGCAAAAAAACATTGCAAAACAGTTTTGCAAAAAAAATTGCATAAAAAATGCCAAAATCTGCTGGTAAATACTGATGCACCACACGTTGTTTATTGAAACATATACCAAAATCGTCCGGAAGTTTGTCGAAACACTCACTGCTGCTAACATAATACCGCCCATGGAAATTGCTGTGTTTGGAACCGCCGGAATGCAACCTGTCCGGTCTAACACTTTTCGAAAGTTTCTGCGGGTATGGGATGGTTTGCGGTTATAGCAGTTAGCGGATAACAAAACATATGGGAGGATGGTTGAAGTATGTCGTTGAAGAGGTTTTCACAGTGTGCTGCAAACGGAAGGGCAGGATGACTGTGACTAGGACCCGATGGCTGGGCTGGGCCGTGGGGGTAGGGTGGGGGGGTGGTGGGGGTTGGGGGGGTGGGGCGGGGGTTTTTTTGCTCCTGTGCCCTGGCCTGGGTTGGGCTGCGGCCTGGACAGGGCCTGGACTCGACCCTGAACTGGAAGGTCGGTGGCGGGCTTTGGTAAGGGTCCTTGCTTTGGGGTGGGAGTGGGTGTGGGGGGAAGTGTGTATCAAGTTCTTCCTGATGCACACTTCTGGCTTGGGCCTGGGCTCGAAACCCCAAGCTGATCCTAAACCAGGTTTTCGAGAAACGAGCATCATGAACATCAGCCGGGTTTGGGGCCAAATCAAAGAAAGCATCATGAGCATCATCCCTTCTTCCCCCTTCCGCAGTGCAGCCGGCGCGGCCGGAATTTGGGAAACCCAAGCACAACAGAAGCAAAACCAGTGCAAACCCAAGCACAACAGAAGCAAAAGCAGTGCAAACAACTCTGCGCAAAACAAGCCGATTCGCGAAAAAAAACCCACGAAACAAGCACAAAATTGAAGAGCAGAAATTTTGCAAACACGCAAATTAGCGCCTTTTTTCTGCAAAATGGTTGTGCAAAATTTGCACACAAATTGTGCAAAAAATAATTAATTGACGAAATGTGGAGTTAGGTAGGTTAAGATCTCATAACACTGAAGGCTCAAAGCGACTGCCAGGAACGCCTGCCCCCGCGCCTGTGGCTCCTTGACTCAAAACTGACGCGACACAACAAACCCGCTAACAACGCAAGGCAAACAGGGGGATCCTGAAAGCGGTCAGTGCCGGTTACATGTCGCGGTCAACCCGTACTCGGACACGCTGAGGAATTCCGTGTCAGTCTTCGGTGCGCGCGAAAAACGACGCATGTCAATCAACTCAGCCCGCCACGCTAGCTCCAGAGAAAACGTGACAATGGTTCTGACACCGGACCTCATTCTCAGCTTCAGCGCCGTGTCCAGATTAGCGGGGCAGAAATCTGCATCAGTCGTGACCCAACTTGTGCATTGAGGGGCCAACCCTTGCTGCTCGGCCTCGTACTGCTCCATGACCGCCTGCGAACGGCTACATGCAAGCTTTTACTGAGCGGACGAACTCAATGCGGAAAACATCAAGTGGGGCTGCAGCCCGCCTTAAATCTGGAACACATGCTGTCGAAAGCCTCCTGGGCATCAAAGACCTGCCCCAGAGAGCGTGAGCCGTCTTACACTGCACATGTGCATACCCGCACATGCTGCTTGCGCAATACGCAACGAACTTCCCCAACTTGGGTGAACCTTGGTAGCAGAAGCCGTGTCCTGCTCAGATCGCTTCACTGAAATCAACCAGAAGCATAAGATGCACGGGCTGCGCGCCTGAGGGACTCGTGTACGCCCCAGAAGCATCTTTGGCCTGGCTATGCATCTTGGGAGGTCTCCAGAAAAGCTTCGCAGCAGGGCGGCCCGATTCCTCCACAAGCAGGTTCCTCAAAATGCCGTCGAACTCGCAATCTGTAAGCCGTGACTTCAACATCTGAGCCGCCTACTTGACATCAACTTGCACAGGAATGGAAGCTGCCTCAGTGCAATCTCGTGCATCCCCACAAGAACAGACATTTAGATCTCAGAGTCGAACGAGGTGGCTCCATCTGCCCGTCTTCTTGAGTTGCAACTCAGAGCCGCTTCCATGGAACATGACAGCACACTCTTCACGAATATCTCCACCAAACACTCCAAGCCCACAGCACCTTACCTAAAGCCATTGAAACGCCTCAAACGTCCCGCTTCTCATGCCTTCAGAAGTGCTGCTCCAACGTTTGAACCCCGCTTAAACGTTTAAAGCCATTGAAACGCCTCAAACGTCCTGCTTCTCATGCCTTCAGAAGTGCTGCCCCAGCGTCTAAACCGTTTCAACACGTAAAACCAGCCTTAAACGTCCAGCTTCTCACACCTTCAAGAAGTGCTGCTCCAAAATTAACGTTGAAACGTTTAAACCGTTTAAACGTTTAAACGGTTTAAACG